ACACACACACACACACACACACACACACACACACACACACACACACACACACACACACACACACACACACACACAAGTTTGCACAGCTATCCATTTGGGGACATTCCATTGACTTCCATTACATTCCTACAGCCTAACCCTGACCACAAACCCTAAGGCTAACCTCACAGGTATATTTGACCCTAAAACTAACCTAAACTCAATTCACACCTTGGTCCTAAACTGAACCCCCAAACCACCAATGGCATTTAAACCAAATGGGGACTTGACTTTTGTCCCCAAATGCACCATTTGTCCCCAAATGTAGACGTTTTATCTTAAAATTGCCCCCAAATGTCACCAGAAACAAACCCACACTTCCCAACACTCACACACGTGTGCTTCTAGTTTTGTTTTGGAACCCTGATTTGATTTAGGAAGTACAACCATCTTCCCAAGACTTCTTCAGACTTTTTCCTCTTTTGAGAAATCACCTTTTTGAGCCACCGTTAATGAAAAGCTTTTTAAATCTGTGTGTCTCTCAACAGCTTTCCAGTATGAAGAGTTGGAAAGACATGCGAAAGGAGATCCTGTATCTGACCGCTGATACGACAGGATCTCCAAAGCAGGTGTACGAGGCCGTGTCACGAATCGTCTGCGGGCATCCAGAGGGAGGTGGCCTCAAAATCAAGTCTCTCAACTGGTATGAAGACAACAACTACAAGGCCCTGTTTGGACACCATGGCAATGACAGCGACAGCGAACCAGTCTCCACTTACGACAACTCTTCCAGTAAGCACCCAGAGCTTGACATTTATTTCAGTCCATCGATCAATACTTTACTTACCTTTTATTCAGCATAGAAACAAACTCTCAAAATGATTTTCTCATTTTATAGCTCCTTATTGTAACAACTTGATGAAGAGTTTGGAGTCCACCCCCATTTCCAGGATGATCTGGCGAGCCCTAAAGCCTCTTCTCATGGGGAAGATTCTGTACACCCCAGATACTCCAGCAACACAGAGGATCATCCATGAGGTGCCATCATGACTAAAACTGTTATTCAAGAAAAATAAACGACATTTAAAGCAATGTAGTAAACAGACATTTATGTGATTTCTAGGTTAATAAGACCTTCCAGGAGCTGGGTGTCCTAAGAGACCTTGGTGGTATGTGGGAGGAGATGAAGCCCAAATTTTGGAATTTCTTGGAGAATAGTGAAGAGATGGATTTAGTCAGGGTAAGTGGATTCACTGACATCATTTCTGTAGCCACAACAGAGCTGTGTTTGCACACTGTGTTATGAGGGCATCTGAGTGTCACACACACACACACACACACACAAAAAGATTAGATTTTGTTGGGTTATTCTCAAGCAGATGAAAGTTGCCGAAGATGTGCAAAAACAAAAGAAGACATAAAAATATTCATTTATTATGAGTTCATGAAACAGAAAAGAGATGAATGCAGAGCCCTCAGCTTCCAGGTACAACTTTATAGGTCAACCAATAAACTTAGCCTGTTAAAGTGCTAACTTTTATACTGCAGCTAAATATCAAAACAAGGCCTGGACTTTCTTAACATATTACATAAAGCAGTCACAAGTACACAGTGGGTATTTGAGAAGGGCTGTAGCTTATAACATGGCTGATGTTTATTTTCAGGTTTCAACCACAACTTCTCTCTTTCTTTTTCTTTGGAAATTTCACAAACTCCACCACCTAGTGGTGAAAATGTCACAGTAAAATTATTACAGATTGAGGACGTATAGAAAGAGTTTAGTTGCATGTAGTTTTGCACATGAGTGTTCTGGCAGCTTTAGCTTGTATCTGTTATGAAACAGGAAAGTTGCAAGAAAGACTAGAAATTTCAGAAGAGGCTTGAGCAGAGCAATCAGAATAACAGACCACAGTAAAATGTGTAGATTTTTTTATATAAATCTCTGATAATGTTTTAGTTGTTTAAAAAAAGTAGTACATAATAAAAACTGTTTTTTATCCAGTCCCTGCTCCAAAGCAACGTCAGTGCAGCTTTCCTGAACACCCAGCTCAGTGGGATTGAGTGGAGCGTGTCAGACGTGGCAAACTTCCTATCGAAAGCGTCAGAGGAACGCAAGCCTGCAGGCTCCACGTACACCTGGAGAGACGTCTTCAACGAAACCGACCGGGCCATACGGACCATTTCACAGTTCATGGAGGTTAGTGAGTCGCCAGCGTGTTTCAGTACATTAAAATGTAGAGCGTGTATTATTGTTTTCACATGACCTATTCTCTTTGAATGACTGCTTAACAACATTTTCACACATTTTCCAGTACACTTTTAATGCATTTCCCCAGATTCACCTTTTCGTTTCCCATTATTTTTAGTCCTTTCACAGCTTACAATGCAAATGAGTTGAAGTCAGTTATTTGCTTTTCTCACACAAACATTAAAGGTATCATATCATGCTTTTAAATCCTTCTTTTTCACGTCTAAATCATTCACTTATGGTCTATTTAAAATAAAACTGCAACGCTTTGGTCTTAATTCCTCGTTTTTGTTGCTCCACAGACTCCTTGCTTTCCCTGGTTTACCCCTGTTCTGAGTTGCGCCTCAGAGCAAGCTGTTTTGGTGCGGTCTCTTTAAATGCAAATGAGATATTTCACACCCCGCCCCCTCCAGGTCCCTGAGCGTTCGACTCCACCCAGTTCGGCCATATTTGTAGTTTCATAGCAAAAACACTGTTATCTACCGACTAAAAACTGTTTTTAAGATAAAATAAGATAAGATAAAACTTTATTGATCCCACAGTCTGGAAATTTGCACATTACTGCAGCTTAATACAAGAGAGGCTGAGAAGAATAATGAAAGATTAATAAAAAATAAACAAAACCCCACAATATACACATGTGATAAATAGTAATGTCCCAATGCACATATACACATATACATAAACACAGATGCTTATTTATATACATATATACACCGTAAAGTACAGTACAAAAATGAATGTATATTATATTGTATCTCAACACTTCCTTCATCAGTTAGCAACACTTTAAACAAGCCACTGACCTGCTTTAACTTTTCTTGGAGGTTACATGACGTTTGTAAACTGATGCTTCACGCTATAAACTATGTTGTGACCTTAAGGTGTTTATGCTGCATTTTATCACTCTGTACTTACTGGACTTATTGGGACATCACGCACTTGGTTTATAGGGAACTGGATACATTTTCAGCTTATGTAAGCTACTGTAAACAAGTGAGAGGCTGCTCTCTAAAAGATTTAAATAAAATACAGATAAACAAGTCCAGACTGGTTACTCAGTGTTCCACCCAAAGACCACCAGTTTGTTTAAAAACGTAAAAATCAATGGAATTTTTCATCTTCACGTGAGAACAACTACTACTGCAAAACTTTCCCTTTATTGTTAAATTCCAAAAAACAAGCATATCCTTATTCCACCTTGTCTTCAGTGTGTGAACTTGGACAAGTTGGAGCCAGTTGCCAATGAGGAACGCCTGGTCAACAAGTCCATGGGTCTTCTGAGTAATCAGAAGTTCTGGGCTGGGATTGTGTTTCCAGACATCGCTCGTAACAACAGCACAGACCTGCCTCCTAACGTCAACTACAAAATCCGCATGGACATCGATAATGTGGAGAGGACTAACAAGATCAAAGATGGGTGAGCGGATGGTTTAACCACGCACATATGTAGCTGACTTCCTAGGTTCTATATTTTAATTTGGATGTTTCGTTTTCAGATATTGGGACCCTGGTCCCAGAGCAGACCCCTTTGAGGACCTTCGGTACATCTGGGGTGGGTTTTCCTACCTGCAGGACGTCATTGAACAAGGAATCACCAGAGCCATCACCGGCACCAAGGAGAGGACAGGCATCTACATCCAGCAGATGCCTTATCCCTGCTACGTTGATGACATGTAGGTGAACGCTGCGTACAAAACATGTGAGGGTAGTGTCAACCATCTGACTGTTTATGTCACCTTTTCCTCAGGTTCTTGCAAGTGATGAGCAGGTCAATGCCTCTCTTCATGACTTTGGCATGGATGTACTCTGTAGCCATCATCATCAAGGGCGTCGTGTACGAGAAGGAGGCGCGGCTGAAGGAAACCATGAGGATCATGGGGTTGAATAATGGCACCCTGTGGCTGAGCTGGTTCATCAGCAGTTTAATCCCTCTGCTGATCAGCGCTGGCTTGTTGGTGATGTTATTGAAGGTTGGTGTTGACACACACACGTGTGTTTTTAACCTGTTTGTCATCGTGCATAGCTCATTGTAAAAAATAGATTTATACAGACTGATTATTGTTATTTATTTTTATGTTCGTCCTTGAATTTGAATTGAATTTAGTTAAAAGCTTTTTGTTTTTTGGCCTCTCTCAGATGGGAAACCTGCTGCCTTACAGTGACTCGGGCGTCGTGTTTCTTTTCCTGGGATCCTTCGGCGTCGTTACCATCATGCAGTGCTTTCTCATCAGCACTTTATTTTCTCGTGCCAACCTGGCAGCAGCCTGTGGGGGCATCATTTACTTCACTCTTTATCTGCCGTATGTTCTGTGCGTTGCTTGGCAAGACTACGTGGGCTTCGGTGCCAAAATTGTCGTGGTGAGTTGAATTACAACCACGTAAGATTATGTACCATAGTCTCCGGTAGTTTTTCAGGTGCTTGAAAATATTACCTATATAGTCACGTTTTTCTACACTAAATTAGGAATCACCTTTTCTTTTCTCAGAGCGTACTTTCTCCTGTGGCTTTTGGCTTTGGATGTGAGTACTTTGCCCTGTTTGAGGAGCAAGGAGTGGGAATCCAGTGGTCCAACTTGCTTGTGAGCCCAATGAAGGAGGACAGCTACAACCTGACCACCTCGATCTGCCTCATGTTGTTTGACGCAGTGTTGTACGGAATAATGACTTGGTACATTGAAGCTGTGTTCCCTGGTAAGTCGTGTGAAAGGTTTACACTCTGAACATTTCTTTCCACATTACTGGTGAAGATAAATGGTGCGAAATCATTTCAACTTCATTAGAAGCAATTTGTTCCGTTACAGGTCAATACGGTATCCCAAGGCCTTGGTTTTTCCCTTTCACACGGTCGTACTGGTGTGGAGAGAAAGAAAACAAAAACCTCAACACTCCTATGTCGAAAAAGGGAAACGCTGATGGTAAAAAAAACAGAATTCACATAAATTATAAACAGTAAACATATATATTATAAATTCAAAGGCAGAAATGAGTGCAGGCAAACTTGCTTTTTGCTGAATTGCTCTTCTTGTTATCCACAGCTGTTTGCATGGAGGAGGATCCGAGCCACATTGAACCTGGTGTTTACATTGAAAATCTGGTGAAGGTCTACAGCCATGGAAACAAGCTGGCCGTAGATGGACTGTCCCTGAAGTTCTATGAGGGACAGATTACCTCCTTCCTCGGCCACAATGGAGCTGGCAAGACCACAACTATGTAAGTTTATGTAGCCTATCAATGTTTTTAACAAACCAGAATTTAAAACTTTGAGATGGGTTTGCAAATGTAATCGGTGGCTGTTTATTTATTCATTTATTTTTTTGGCTGTTTTTCTTTTTTTTTTAGGTCAGTCCTGACAGGTTTGTTCCCACCCACTTCTGGCACTGCCTACATCCTTGGCAAAGACATCCGCAGCGAGCTGAGCACCATCCGACAGAACCTGGGCGTCTGCCCCCAGCACAACGTGCTTTTCAGCATGTATGTATGCAACGTGAACTGTAGAAATTTCTGCACAACCCTTTTTTTAATTGTTTTATGTATTTATTTTTTGGTATTTTAGTGATTTCTTAATTTGCTTTAAACCAGGCTGACTGTGGAAGAGCACATCTGGTTCTACGCTCGCCTAAAGGGGCTTTCCGAGGAGCGGGTGAAAGCTGAGATGGAACAAATCGTAAACGACGTCGGCCTGCCTCACAAGCGCAAGTCGCGCACAAGCACTCTGTCAGGTCAGCTCTCTGCTTTGTGTCCATTCTGTATTTTCACACACAGGTTTAGGTTTGGAGAATGTGTTTCTGACTTGAGGTTGTTTCGTCTTTTCAGGTGGGATGCAGAGGAAGTTGTCTGTGGCTTTGGCGTTTGTTGGGGGCTCAAAGGTTGTGATTCTGGATGAGCCCACTGCTGGTGTCGATCCTTACGCACGAAGAGGAATCTGGGACCTGCTTCTCAAGTACAGACAGGGTAAATATTGCTGATAGCAGCCTGTAGTATCATGGGCTTATTTATACTTTAGGCTTAAGGATTATATATATATTAGGGTTAAAAATGTTGTGATATTTTAGGTCGCACCATCATCCTGTCCACTCATCACATGGATGAAGCTGACATCCTGGGTGACCGAATCGCCATCATTTCCCATGGCAAGCTGTGCTGTTTGGGATCCTCTCTCTTCCTCAAGACCAACCTCGGCACAGGCTACTACTTGACTCTGGTCAAGAGAGATTATGACTTGTCCCTTCAGTCCTGCAGGAACTCTGCCAGCACCGTCTCCTACAGCAAGAAAACAGAAAAGGTACGAGACAAGTAACCATAAATGACAGAGCCATCAAGCTTCCTCTGCTTAAATTTATTTATTTATTTTAAGTAACGCAGATGTAGGAGACTTGTAAAACTGTAGGTAAAGGTTTACTGAGTTTCCTACTTTTGTTCAGGAGGACAGTGTATCAGAGAGCAGCTCAGATGCTGGCCTGGGAAGTGAACCAGAAAGTGAAACCACCACCATCGGTAAGCACCAGTGCCTTTCAGAAAACATTATATCAAACTGGAACCACTTTCATAAGTGTATCCATTTTTCATCCTTTCTATGCTTTTTATTTATTTATTTGTTTCCTATAGATGTCTCCCTCATCTCCAACGTGATCTTTAAGCATGTTCCAGAAGCTCGTCTTGTAGAAGATCTGGGCCATGAGCTCACTTACATCCTGCCCTACCAGTCAGCTAAAGACGGAGCTTTTGTTGAGCTCTTCCATGAGCTCGATGACCGACTCATGGACTTGGGAATTTCAAGTTATGGAATATCTGATACCACCCTGGAAGAGGTAGGAACTCCTAAAGACACATTTCAAGATAAAAATCAGGATCAGTTGGACTTTTGCCCGTACTGTTTTATTTATTATGTTTATCAAACCTGCAGCCAACAATCACTGGATTTCACTGAAGTGGTTGTTTAAATCTTTGATTCTTTGTCGTAGATTTTCCTGAAAGTGGCAGAAGACAGTGGAGTGGATTCTGTTGAGCTTTCAGGTGAGATTTATAATTATCATTGTAATGTAAAATAAGTCCCTAGAATTTATATTGTATGTTAGTATGGATTTCAAACAGAAAATAAAGAAATGAAACTCGGCTAGGTCGACTTTAAGACTTTCTCGTTACAACAGATGGAGTTGTACCGACCAGGATCCGTCGGCGTCATGCATTCGGAGACCACCAGAGCTGCCTGAAGCCCTTCACCGAGGATGACTTTGACTTCAACGACTCTGAAGGTGACCCAGGTAGAACTTTTTCACGCAAACATTTTGTTATTTGCATTTAAAAATCAAAAAGATCTTAAAATCCTTGTTTTTTTCCTTTTTTGCTGTTGTGACAAATAAAAAAAACACTATTTTAGCCTTTTAATTATAACTTGAAATCCCTGAGTATTGTTACAAAAGCAGCCAAATGTCCTCACTCTTGTCTCTGGTGTCCTAGAATCCCGTGAAACGGACTGGCTTGGAGGAGCAGACGGCAAAGGCTCATTCCAGGTCAAAGGCTGGAGCCTGAAGAGGCAGCAGTTTGTGGCTTTGCTCTGGAAACGATTCCTCTATGCCCGTCGCTCCAGGAAAGGCTTCTTCGCTCAGGTATGTTGCACTGATGGTAACTGTTGCTACTGTAAGAGGTTTTTTTTTAAACCTTGCAGTAACCATCAGTAATGATGCAATACATCTGAATGCAGTAAAGTAAAACTTCTGATCTGTGTCCACATGAGCAAAAGTTCAAATGAATTGTTCTGGTTGTGTTTTTTCAGATTGTTCTGCCGGCGGTGTTTGTGTGTATTGCACTTGCGTTCAGTCTTATTGTTCCTCCGTTTGGGAAGTACCCCAGTCTGGCTCTGCACCCCAGCATGTACGGAGAGCAGTTTTCCTTTATCAGGTGAGACATCATTCTGTGTTTATTAAGCCTTTTTTTTTTTATTAATCACTTATTTTTGTATTTTAAAAAGTCTCCATGTGTGTCTTGCCATAAAAAAAATCCATACAATGTTTTAAATTCAAAATTAGTTCATTATAATGGCTTTCTTTTCTGTTATGAATACAGCAAACTATCTTATTTTTATTATATTTGGATTATTATAACACAAAAATGTTATTAAACATTACAAAAATGCAGCAAGACTTGCATATCTTCTAGTTTTTTAAAACTTGTAAACAATTGTTGGTAAAGCAGACTGATTCAGGAATTTACTGAAAGGATGTAAAAAGAAATAATTTTTAAAATGGCGATATCAGACCTTTATTAACCATCATTTACACCTTGTTTTTAGTCTGAATCTTTTGCGAAGTGCTTGTTTTAGGTATACAGTCATTTGTATTTAGCGCAGCTTAATAAATATGTATTTATATATATGTATGAACCATTTTTGAACTGTTTCCAGTAATGATATTCCTGAGGACCTGCACATCAACAAACTACAGCAAGCTTTGACAGAAAAACCAGGCTTTGGAACGCACTGCATGGAAGACAAGCCCATACCGTGAGTACAATCAGGGTGAAGTTTAAATCCAATCTCAGATTAAAACATGGATTTATTTAGAAAAGTGAACTCTTCCGTCTCCAGAAATACTCGCTGCAACGCCGTAGAAGACGAATGGGCGGTTCCTCCAGTTCCTCAAACTGTACGAGACGTTTTCGACAAAGGCAACTGGAGCATGGAGAATCCCTCTCCGCTGTGCGAGTGCAGCTGCGGGAAGCGAAAACGGATGCTGCCCGAGTGTCCCGCTGGGGCCGGAGGCCTTCCGCCACCACAGGTCAATGCCGTAAAACAAAATCCAGATCCAATAAAGGTGAGCTTGCTAAAGCACGCGATATTTAAACAGTTTCATCTGTTTTTGCGTCCAGATGAAGCTCAGCGACACGGACACTCTGCAGAATCTGACTGGCAGAAACGTGTCCGATTATCTGGTTAAAACCTACGCTCAGATCATCGGCAAGAGGTAACGCCTTATTAATACTGACAGCGACATTATTTGTTACGCACATCTCAGCTTAAAGCAGCCTAAACATTTAATAACACGGTTCTTCTCTGACAGCCTGAACAACAAGATTGGGGTCAACGAGTTCAGGTACGGTGGAAGGCACGATGCATCATTTCTGTGTGATGAGTATTGATCTGAGTGCTCCTCTGCCGCGGCCGTCTGTCACGTGAAAATGTCTCCCCTCCAACAGATACGGTGGATTCTCACTGGGTGCCAGAAATTCTCAGGTTCTGCCTCACAAAGAAGAAATTGATGTAGCGATAGCACAGCTAAGGAGACGCTTTCATCTTGACAGAGTGAGTGATTTCATCACGCTATTATTATTTTTATATTTCACTTGTCTGTTTCAAAGTAGCCATTTGCACAAAAAATAAAAATAAATTAGAAGGGGCTCTCTGCAGTCAAAAAGTGGGAGTTTCTTGGGTGTGGATGTAGTTTGGCTAAACCTGCGTAATTTATAACTTTAGCATCTGAATTGTTACACTTCTGCCCCCAAACTACGCCCACACCCAAAAAACTCCCACTTATTGACTGCAGAGGTACTTTAAAAAAACTGCCGACTTTAATAAGGTTATATAGGACACACACAGGGACTCTGTGCAGCTGTGGTTTATAATTACAGCTGTAGTAAATCTAGACTTGAAATCTAAGTCTGATCAGTTTCAGCTTAGCCACGCTCTAAAGAGGACTCTCCCTCTTCTAATCCTTTCTGTTCGCCTCGTCTCCCTCTCTTTCTGCCTCCTTCACCCTCCAGGGAACTGCAGCCGATCGTTTCTTCCGCAGTCTCTCCAGTTTTATCCAAGGTTTGGACACCAAGAATAACGTCAAGGTTAGCGCTCACTCATATCGACGCAGGCTGGTTCTGTTGAATGCATCAACTCTTTATGATCACAGAAATAAACTCTACCAGCGTTTAATGTACACTTATTTATTGTTTCACATTTGGTTCAGTTAAGTAGTAGGAAATCTAAATGTTGTATTTTCAAATTGTTAGTTTGTTTTTATATAGTTTGTTTCTTATTTTATTTGTCAGATGAGTCAACTTTTAAGTCCTACTGAAAAAAAATAATAATAATAATGAAGAAATCAAAGCATTATGATGCACAAATGCACACAAACTTTAAAGGATCCATGATTAGTTGTAACATTAGACTTTATTTAATAAACATATATTTTAACTGTGAAATAAAGACTGTAAAAATACTGCAGGCTGTTTAGTTTTTATAATTTTTAAACTAAAATTTTAAAAATATATTACACAGACGGAGCCATTTTATTTACATGCAAAGCATTCTGGGTAAATGATGACATCAACTAGGTCATCGGCATGAGGCTGCTAGCGAGCTATATCCACCCTGAAGGTTAATCTTGGACAATATCTGATGATCGACTCTTTTAAATGAAACCAGAGAGCGTTGACAGAGAGGAGAAGGTAGAAATGACTCAGCCTGGAACTGAAAATATGGATGGAGGACAACAGAGCTGCTTCATGGAAGAAGAACCTCAGCTTAGCCTGTTAGCTTTAGCGTTAGCCCAGATGTTATCACCATATATATGTATTAGCTCAGCGCTACACATTCTCTCATCACTGAGGTCCTCCATCCACATGACAGAGAAGGGAACGTAAAAATGCCTCAGTCTGCAACTGAAACTATGGAGGGAGGACCTCAGTTTAGCTTGTTTGTTGCACTAGCGCTGAGCTAATACATATAAGGCAATATAGCGTCGGCTATATGGTGGATATAGCTCGCTCACACTGAGGACCTATCCACGTCATCATTTACCCAGTATTCTTCGCCTGTAAATAAAATGGCTCCATCCATGTTAAAATATATTTTTAAAAATTTACAAAACTAAACATCCTACAGTATTTTTACAGTCTTTATTTTACAGTTAAAATATATTTTTATCAAATAAAGTCTAATGTTACAACTGATCGGGGATCCCTTTAAGACACTGAGCTGGTTCCTGAGCAGATAGTTTACCTCCAGTTTTGCTCCTTATTTCCCGTGGCAGTAAAATAATTAAAACCATACATTTCTTTCCTACTTCCAGATCTGGTTTAACAACAAGGGCTGGCACAGCATTGGTTCTTTCCTCAACGTGATGAACAACGCTGTCCTGCGGGCGAGCCTTCCGCCTGGAAAAGACCCCGCAAAGTTTGGCATCACCGCCTACAACCACCCACTGAACCTGACTAAGGAGCAGCTGTCGCAGGTCGCTCTGTGAGTATTCCAGTCACTACGGCAGGCCATTTAATCTCCCTTTTTTTTTAACCTCTCCTATAAATGTCTCGTTCGTTTTGTTCCCTTTCAGGATGACAACATCTGTGGACGTTCTGGTGTCAATTTGTGTGATCTTCGCCATGTCCTTCGTTCCTGCCAGTTTTGTGGTTTTCCTCATCCAGGAGAGAGTTACGAAGGCCAAGCATATGCAGTTCATCAGTGGAGTGCAACCCTTCCTGTACTGGCTGGCAAACTTTGTCTGGGATATGGTAAGATGTTTAAAAATCAGCTTAAACTCTTGGGGGAGAAAAAAAAAGGTTGAATATGTTAGATCTTGAAAAATATGTAGAGCAAAAACACTTAAAGAGTGATGTTTCTCTCTTTCAGTGCAACTACATCGTTCCAGCCACTCTGGTGATCATCATATTTGTGTGTTTCCAACAAGAAGCCTATGTGTCTTCCACTAATCTGCCAGTGCTGGCCCTGCTGCTGCTGCTCTACGGGTAATTTGAGCAAACGTTCTGATTGTTATAGATCTGCAACCGTTTAGATTTTCTTTGGCATCTAAAATGCTATTTGGGCTCTTTGCAGCTGGTCGATCACCCCTCTGATGTACCCAGCCTCCTTCTTCTTTAAGATCCCCAGCACTGCCTATGTGGTTCTAACCAGCGTCAACATACTGATAGGGATCAATGGCAGCGTGTCCACGTTTGTCCTGGAGTTGTTCGGAAGCAATGTAAGTAAATAGGACGTGCGGCGGATTGTGCCTCTGTTTTAATGTCTTTATATGCTCCAATGGTGTAATAATATTCAAATTCCTCTTGTCAGGAGATCGGTGGCATTAATGACATCTTGAAGAACGTGTTCCTCATTTTTCCTCACTTCTGCCTGGGTAGAGGACTGATTGACATGGTGAAGAATCAGGCCATGGCTGATGCTTTAGAGAGATTCGGTAACTAAAGCAAATGTTCCTTTCAACCCCCGAGTGGTTTCGACAAGGGAGAAAAAAATTTTCTAAAACAAAAAAACAAAAAACAGAAGCATTAAACCAGTGGTGTCAAACTCATTTTCACTGAGGGCTACATGAGCGTTATGGTGGCCCTCGAAGGGCCAGTTGTAATGAACTTTGATGTTTCATGTTTAACTTTGACTAAACAGAGTTTTAACATAAACATTGGTAAGAACTAAGTGTACGACTGACTAAATCTGAAATAAATACAGAAATATTATTAAAAGTAAAACTAATAAAGTTTTACTCACTGATGAGTTTCTAGTGTGTGGCTGCATTATGTTAGATTTAGTTTATGGTTGATGCTGACTTTAAAGGCACAGTGTGTAGGATTTGTTGTTTTCAGCGACATCTAGTGGTTGAGTGGTTGAATCATCCTCCCTGGTCCTCCCCCCACCCCCC